CCCCCCCACTCCGCCTCCCGCAGCTGAAAATAAACCACCTAAAAGAAGGGCCGCTAAACGTTTTTGGCTTTTAAAAAATACTAAAACCCCCCCATCCCGGGGGGGAAGGGGGGGCCGGCGGCAGAAGTAAACCGAGAAGGGCGGAATAAACTCACCGTTTCCGTCGCTCGCCGACACGGACAGCGCCGGGGAGGAGAGTTTAGGCCTCTTCGCTGAAGGCGGGCCGGCGGACTCGACCACATTATCGGCCATTTTTTTTTTCGCGATTTTTTTTTTTTAAAACAAAATCCACACAACAGGAGAAAGAGAGGGAGGAGGGGGGGGGGACGGAGAGAGAGAGAGGGGGAAGAGCAAGAGAGAGACTTCTTTTTTTTTTTGGCTTTCTGGGGGGGGGGCTGGCTGACCGACCGACCGGCCGACTGGCGGACCGACCGACGGTGGTGGCGGTGCCGAGGATGATGATGATATTATTATTATTCACCTCCTCCTCCTCCTCCAGGCGTCTCTTTCCCCTTTTCTTCCTCGGACTGTGTTTTGTTTTAAATCCCCCCCCTCCTCACCTCTTCCCTCCCCTCGTCTCTCTCTCTCTTGAACGAGGGGAAGAGAGAGATTCGCCAAGAGGAGAGGAGAGAGAGAGAGAGGCAGGCAAAAGTCTCTCCTTCTTCTTCTTCTTCCTCCTCGTCGTCTCTTTTTCGGATTTGGCGTTCAAAACTTCCCCTCCCCTCCTCCTCCGGGCGTTTTTTGGGTTGTGTTGTGGTGTTGCTCCTTCACAGATTTCGGCTCCTAGCTGCTGCAGCAGTAGTAGTTGTAGTAGTAGTGACGGGAGGAGGAGGAGGAGGGGAGGAGGAAGAGAAAGTCTCCGAGTCGCTGGGAGAGAGAAAGGCCCTCCGGATTAACTCATGTAGCTTCCTCGGCGCAGATCAAGATGTCCCGGGCAGGGTCCTCCAGGGCTCCGTCTGCGTTTTCTACCATCTCCGGAGGCCAAGGCGAGAGATAATCTGAATTATTTCCCTTTTTGTTGTTGTTGGTGGTGGTGGTGGCGGTGGGTAGGTGGGTTTGGGGAGGGTGGAAAAAAATTAAATGAAGAAGGAGGGGAGAGAGAAAGAGAGAGACGAGGTTAAAAAAAAGTCGCACCCGAACGAGGGCCAGGAGGTAATTATTCTTCACAATACAAAACCCCCGACGCCATCCCCACCCCCCCGTCCTGGAAAGGTAATACTTGTGTTGGGTTTTTTTTTAAAAAAATATATAGATTTTCTTTCTTCGTAAAAGGGCGCACGCCGGGTTCGGGCTCGGTTCGGGACGGGCTGGCCTTACGGGCGCCCAGGTCGGTCACACCCC